TTTTGACGGGTTGCCGTGAAGAACTTGCAGCTGCTGTGTATGTGATATGACGGTAGTTTTCTCAAATGAAACGGTAAAATGCTAATGAAGTGACTCTCAGAGCAGCTGGCGATGACATTCGTGTTCATATCATCATATAGTGAGACAGCAGAAGCTGAAAACACCACGAGCGATATCCACGCTTTAGTATGCGTGTAGTAAACAAAACAGTGTGCCGCGCCATCCACCATTCATTCATTGCGGAAATCATGGCGCCTTATGCGTGATATCAAATGCTTCCGCAGATTTATAGCATTACTATAGCATTTCCCCTAAGAATTGCGAATTGCGTGTATGGCCATGGTAAGCGCTGAATGAATGACAGGATTTCTGTTGTAACATCGCGCAAGGTAAATAAGGGTGACATCTAGTGGAGAAGACTAATGATAAGATTCACGTTAATCAGATCTTGTTTTAAATGTGCTGAAATAAATCCCGGAAAAGATCGATTCACGGCTTTTGAGAATCGATATTGAATCGATGTCATTTTAAAAAACGATTAATCGAAAAATCAATTATTTTTTTTGCCCAGCCCTAGCTATTACTATGGTGTTTTTACTCTTGTGTGTGTGATTACTTTGTTTACAACTAAATATAATATATGTGTACATATTTTATATTATAATATATAAAAATGCATTAAATGATATCAAATATGATTAAATAATAAATGTTAAATTGTTAACACAAAATATTTCTATTAAGGTTCAATTTATTAACATTTGCTAATTGCATCAGTTAGCATGAATTAACAATGAGAAATATTTAAAAGTTATTAATTTTAATTAGTATTAATTTCAACATTTACAAATACATTATTAAAATCAAACGTTGCATCTGTTAATATTATTTAATTGACTTAAGCTAAAAAAATAAACAACTTTATATTTTTATTTAAATTGTACATCAATAAACTATTTAACTATTCTAATAACTATTTTTATTAACTAACATTCACAAAGATTAAAAAATAGCAAATGTATTCAAATAACACATTTATTGCTCATTCTTACCACTAATAATGTTCTATTACTTTTAATTATATTATAAAATATTTAATCATATTTAATCTAAAATATAAAATGTATAAAATTATATAAATAAAACATTTAATAAAATATAAAAGCTAAATAATAAATAATATTAACAATAAAATAATTTAATAATACTATCCTGTGTAAAATTACAAACCCTTTTTTTTTACACTGTAGATTTGAGTGTTGACTTGGTTCATCAAGTACAATTAATTACACTAATACCATATATAATAATTATAAAATAATACATAACATTAAATAAGGAAATCTGGAAGCATGCATATGCTGTCAAACGATTAATTGCGATTATTCGCATACAAAATAAAAGTTTTTGTTTGCATAATATATGTGTGTGTTAATAAATATATTTCATATATAAACATAACACATTTTTCTGAAATATATACATGCATGTGTGTGTATTTATATATGCATAATAAATATACACAGCACGCATATATATATATATATATATATATATATATATATATATTATGTAAACAAACACTTTTATTTTGGATGCGATTAATCATTTGACCACAATAATGCATATACTTTTTCACAGCATTATATTATATTATATTATTTGCAGTGTGTCAGGAAGTCACACTCAGATGTGTTCACAAAAGTGGAGCTGGAAGTGTATGGTTCGTCAGAACACTGAACTTTTTTTAACTTTCTGGAAAAACAGATCATAGTGCCAAACGTTTCTCACATGTGACTGTTTCTTTGAAACACTGGCCCAAGCAAAGTTCATATTTCCTCAGCTTTCCTGTTTACACCCCTCAGCAAAGAAACAATGTCTCCTCAAGGACAACATCGTGAAACACCTGTGACGCAAACTACAATGAGAGAAACCACAATGCCTTCCAAGCAATAATACATTTGCACAGCTCCTTCAAAGCAGTAATTTTTTATTATGAAGTATCACAATGTCCTTTTCAAGTTATTAAAACAAAACAATGTGTACCGCATATGTAATCCTACTGTAATACACTCCTACAGGCTCTAGCGATCTTCTGATCCCTCATTATGCAATATATCTCTCACCTCACGTAACCCTATTCCACATCCTACTCATTCAAACTTGTTCTCTCTTTGTCTGTTCCCTTCACCTCTGCTCTTATCAGGACGCAGCAGTGCTGTGCAGAGGCTGGTGGCTCTGGCTCTGGCTCTGAGAAGCGATGCATCTGTCTGCCAGGGACCTTGGTGAAACATTCCCCTTTACCAGACAATATGTGACTAAGACACCGCGAGTCTGTGCATATTAAAATGGAGCTGACGGATGGGACAGACCACGTCTGACACTCGTTAAGACACCCATTTGCCGAGAAAATGAACTTGTAAAGCCGTGCGGTTGTGCTGACAAAGAACACTGTGGATACATTCGCGAAGTGACATTTTGGAGTGGGTTTGCTCATTATTTGGAAAGCGCAGATTCATTGTAAGTTTAACAATGTCATTTTCTTAAAACACAAAGAGACACTGAGAATGTGGCCAGTAACAGTTGTTGTTGTTGTTTTTTTCCACATACCCTATCCATGTTTTTTAGAACCTGATTCGGTGAAGTAAATAAGACAGGGTATCAATACACATTTCCTGATTCAATTTGATTCTGATTCAGTTGTTTTGTTTAGATTCCAATTTCAATTCAATTTGATTTGAAACTGATTCATTTGTCGATTTTGCTTACATATAAAAGAAAATTCATAGTTCAAATGAATTCAAACCAGTAACTCATCTTTTCATTACAAGAATCGGCTCATAAGAGTTGTCTCAAGAATCAGGGTAAAGTGGTCACACTGTATGTTCTGATTCACTTAGAAGAACCAGTTCACAACAGTCATTTGTGTGTAAATCAGGATACACTATCTGTGCAGTATATTTTGATTTACTAAAAATAACCTGTTCATAAGAGTAATTTATTGATGAATTAGGATACACTAGCCTTGCTGCATGTATGACTCATTAAAAGGAACTAGTTCATAAGAATCATTTGTTATTGAATCAAGATTCACTAGTCTTGTTGTATGTTGTGATTCACTAAAATGAACTGGTTCATAAGAGTCATTTATTAATGAATTAGGATACACTAGTCTTGCTGTATGTATGACTCATTAAAAGGAACTAGTTCATAAGAATCATTTGTTCGTGGATCGAGCTACACTGGACAGGCTATTTGTTTTGATTCACTAAAATGAACCGGTTCATAAGAGTAACTTGTTCATAAAGATTGTCAATGGACAGTAAATAAGAAACAATATTTTTGTACTAAAATAGTCACGCAAAAGTAGTAGTATGGTGAATTTACCCAAATACTGTTTTCTTATTCATTCCACAGTATGCATGAAGTCTACATTAACTGATACTGAAAATAACAAAATAATAATAGACACTAAGGGGCTGAATCTAATGTGTGTGATCTCCAAATACCTCCAATGAGCTGCATCAACACAGAGCAAACACAAGCATAACAGTATACACACCCCGGGCATGAATTCCACAAAGATGGACAGTTTTTTCTGCACCGGATCACGCAAGCAGCCGTAGTACTGCACGATACGGTCGTGACGCAGATTCTTCAAGAGCTGGATCTCACACTCCAGTGCATTCACTTCCTGTGGAGACAGACAAGAGGCAAGTAAGCACAACATCTCTACAGAGCACAAATACTAGGGCTGGGTAAAAATATCGATATCTCGATTTTAATCGATTCTCATTTTATGGACAATTTTTCAGCACAAAATAATCATGACTAAACATCCGAAGGTAAGTTAAAAGAAAGAGTACAACTTTACAATCCGTATCCTGTCTCATGTAATCGCTCAATCAGTGTTTCAGTCGCGCAATGACGTCAATATAATGGCTTGTAAACAATGTCACGTAACGTCACATTTACCTCAGAAAAAACATATTCGGTGTCCATAAACTCGTTAGTCATAGAAAAATAAACTGCAGAGAGGGGCATTTTGCTAAATATATGCACCATATAACATATACATTGTACTTTTTACTGTTCTTCAATGTTTAATGTATGTTTGAATAAATCCATCAAGTTTTTATGACAGCCACCATTTAAATGTTTATATTTCAAACAAAACAATTGAAGTAGAAATATTATGTAATCGTAACTTTATTATTTAAAAAACTTCATTAAAGGGTTAGTTCACTCAAAAAATTACATTTTACAGCATTAGTTGAGAGATTTTTTTTTCCTTGAGAAAATTTGGCATGAACTGTACCTGATATGTATCCAAAATAATCGTTATTGAATCGAATCAAATCGCAAGCTTGTGAATGAGAATCAAATCAAATTGTGAAATTTGTGTCAAACCCCAGCCCTAATAAATACTGTCATCATCTGAGTCCACTTCACACTTACCTTGCTGGTCTCCTGACACTCAGGGTCAAAGGGCACCTGCTTGGTCGCCAGCTCGCGTCCCGTGTCAACATCATAGCAGAGGTAGACCTCTCCGAACGCTCCCCGACCGAGCAGTTTCCCCTGACGCCAGTTTACAGGAGCCCTTGGGGCTGAGGAGGGTAAGAAGAAACAAACCAAGTTAACCTCACCAGCAAACCGCAGACTGTAACTTAAACCAGACCAAATCACTCACACAGACTCGCTGACAACTCAGAGTCAAACCACAACTGTATTACTATACAGATTTACACTTTCAGATTTATTTGCAACTGTTCCCCTTTCAGGCAATAAACTAGGATTTAAATGAACAGAGAGGCAGACAGTGAACTATTGGCAGCCGCTTAAGTTATTAAAGACTAAATATTAAACACCTGAATATTACTTCTTTAAATCAAGGCTCCGTCGAACTGAAGCAAATCCTTCAGGCCGTGTTTTTTTTCTAACACTAATACAACATCTTGTGTTTGGCAATATCTGAATCTCTTTTTTATGGCTCTCTCATGACTGATTGCTATCATGAGCCACACACATAATAATACAATCTTTGTCTGCTGCTATTGCTCTATAAACATGCTGTATGGATCTAATCATAGATAGAAGAACTTCAAGTCTGGATGCAGTTAAACTACACCCAAGTCTGAGAAATACCAGTCACCAGCCAAGATTTACGCATCTCTCCGACTCACTTCCCACTTATTCTATGATGGACACTTTTGCGTCAGCATTTACGATCATTTTAATCAGCTTAGTGCTCCTATAATGACATTTGACATGAAGCTATCTGAATAGTTTATGGAGGCATTGGGGGGAAAGAACCCGCAGGCAGACAGAAGAGACGAGCATCCATGCTCATAAGTCAAACTCAGGCGCCTGTCCTGGATTCCTCGGAGGAAATGGAGCTGATTAAAGAACCTGTTTGTAGACTGCAGAGCTCAAACACACAAGAGCACAGCACATACCACGCAGAGCTGGGTTTATTCATCATCTCTAATAGAGGCGGGAAGTATGAACAAAATCGAATGGTAACAATGTGTATATAATGACTAAAGCTAACTGAAAGAGATTAGTTACAGATTCTCTGATTTGATTAAATTCTAATTTATAAGATTCCGATTTATTTAAATATGTTTCAGTTAAAATGTCCATTTCGCTTGCACATTCTTAAGTTCAACCACTTTCTTGTCACTACTGCTGTAAGTTATACAGGACAGTGTTTTAGACTGATTCAAATGGTTAACTCAAAGGAAATTCAAATCCTTTAGTCCTCTACTCATGAAATGAACTGGCTTATAAGAGTAATTTGTTTCCGCAAACAGACTACACAGGTCGAGCTGAACGCTTCTGATTCCCTAAAGACAACAGTTCAAAAGAGTAACTTGCTTGTGAATCAGACTACACTGGTCGAGCTGAACGCTTCTGATTCCCTAAAGACAACAGTTCATGAGAGTCATTTGCTTGTGAATCAGACTACACTAGAGGTCTGCTACCCGACCCGAGCCCGACGGGTCCCGAAATACTTTCGGGTTTCGGGTCGGGTTCGGGTTAATGTTTAATGAATAGCTTCGGGTCGGGCTCGGGCTCGGGTTTATAGCTAAACTAAAACTATATGCAGTAGCCTAGGCTACGCTGCTTTCATAGACGCACGCACACACATTATTGCACACGACAACACAGCACGGAAACTTTTATTAGTAAAATAGCTTCGACAGGCTACTGATTCGCAACTTTATATTTCTCTGCAATGAGGGGGTAAAATCGCTGTTTTTGAAGGAACTAAGCCTCATTGCTTGTAGAGAGAGGCGCGCAGACGCAGGTTCACACACGCAACTTTTATCCATCTCTCTCTCTCTCTCTCGCTAATTCAAATAAATTATATAATTCATTCATTCAAATAAATGCGATCTTACCGCACTGCATCTCTGTGTCTGATTTAAAGCAGGCCGAATGCTAACGAGCCTTAACTGATGAAAATGACCATAATTTGCACGATGAATTATCGTCTTGTCGTATACAACCATTCAAAAACTCGGCAGAATTTATGTGACCGAGGCACCTGATGTTCATAAACTTTCATAACTGGTAAGTGTTTTTTCTTTTGCTTTGTGAACTGGCCGAGCCTTAATGATTCTGTTTCTTTACATGTATTTGTTTACTGACCATTGCATGCAATTGTGAAATACAGGTTTTTTTTTTTAATTGGCTATTCGTTGTGGGGGGAAAAAAAAGATTTCGGGTCGGGTTCAGGCTCTAAATTGAACTGTGCCACTCAGGTCGGGTCGGGCTGGGTCAGACGATCTCGGGTACGGGTCGGGTTCGGGCTTCAGTTTAAAGCCTGTGCAGACCTCTAGACTACACTGGTCGAGCTGAACGCTTCTGATTCCCTAAAGACAACAGTTCATGAGAGTAATTTGCTTGTGAATCAGACTACACTGGTCGAGCTGAACATTTCTTTTTCCCTAAAGACAACAGTTCATGAGAGTCACTTGCTTGTAAATTTAACTGATCATGTTATTTTTTTGCATGCAGCCTGCAAGGACAATTCAATATAAATTTTTTGTCATTATTTTGCGTTACAGTCTTTTTTTTTTATCACGCTACATTCAATATACACATCAAACTCTTATTGACAACTCAGGTTAAATATGATTTATTTTGCTATGGTGCTACAGATTCAGAGTTGTTCATGGTTACGCTACAACCAGACACTTCTGGTCTGAAGGCAAGTGTGTAAATGTGCTTTATAACGTTTTCTTTTCTAATGGTCTGCATAAGTGTCCTCATGTTCGTGCTCTTACATTTAGGAGTGTTGCGTTGGCTGTTTTTCTCAGTCCAGCTGATGGAGCGCAGATCTCCACTGTACAGCATTGTGCTTTCTCCATTATAGCTGCGTGTACGGCTGGACGGGACCAGCTGAAACAGGTTCTCTTGAGGCATAAAGCTTCGAGGGAAGGTCCTTCGACCTGCATACAAACACATATTTTAGGCACACATGATACAAAATACAAATACACCTTTAGAGTTTTGACCAATAAACTTCCATGATCTTTTTGGAGATTTTCCCAGTTTTTTCTATTACTGTATACTGAGTTTATAAAAGTTGTATTAAAAAGTTATATCTAACTTTTCAAGTTTTTTTTTTTTTTTAATAGAATGGCACTAACAACGTCTAGATCATAGGTTTGACTCCCAGGGAACACACATGATATATTGTTACCTTAAAAACACTCAAATCTGCTTTGGTAAAAGCATCTACCAAATGCACAAATAACATTCCCTATAAACTAATTAAATCTTTGCAGAATTCAGATGTTCTGAATCATCTCTTCATGCTTTAAGGCACATGCAATCAACATGTCCAAACATCTTTATATTCCTCTTCCTCCCATTCCCTAATTCTCTCTCTCACGCTCTTCTTTTCCTTTGTCTTTCACTTCCTCCATCAACCTTTCCACAAGGCAGGAAGCTCCTCTCAGTACAGTGTTTTGCAACAGTCAGTGTGCCCCATCAGGGGAAACACAAATAAAACAAACACACACACACACACACTAAGTCTTTAATACATTTCTCGAGTTCTGGGGAAACTCAAATCATGTTGACCATATGCACATCTTTATCTGCCTCCAGCACTGCATATAATGTAAGGAATTTGTAATATCCCTGTTGAAAATATCAGCACCTGTGTAACAGCATCAAATCATCATAAACTAGCCTTCTAGATGAAAATGGGTTTTGTATTTTGGTTGTGGCAGACAATTTATGGATGTAGGCTGCAAACGCATGTTTGATTCCAAGTAGGAGAATCAGCAAGAACACAGTCCTTTTCTGTGCCATTGAGCAATGCCCTCCACGCTAACACAATCCAGAGGGACGGTGAATGCAATTAGCGAATTGTGACTTGCTTTGGATAAGAAAGCATCTGCTAAATGTTAACCAAAGAATTAATTTACTAATTAGGCGCTCTGAGAATTGAGGAGAATTGAGGAGAGGCTCCAAATACCAGACTCTTAACACCAGTTTTCATGCAGACTTGCATCGTTACTTTGTGAAAAAATAATGGTGTAATTATAAAAGAGAAACAAAACATATGTGATACCATTTGTTTAGAATAAATTCATCAAACTCAGACAGAAACTACTAACTCTCATTGCGTTTTCAGAAATTTTCAGAATAACAATAAATAACTAACTATATATATATATACATATATATAATTACATAATAAATTATACATTATATTATTTATTTATTTTTAGATTCAATGATTTATTTAAAAATAATATACAAAGCAATAACAACAACAGATTATAACTCTTTTCAGCATCATGAACTTTGGTTATTCAACTTGATTTACATTTAAGCTCTCAGTTTAAATCAAGTCTCAAATTAAAAAAAAAGTAAATAATAAAGTCCATAAATAATTTCAAAATAATGAATGACATACACACAGTGGCTGTTTTCTATAGTTATAAATAGCACAGTTGTTCAGGTAAAGGACAGCTTACCGTCACCATAGTCTTTACTGTGACTGGACATGTGGAACTGGCGTGGGAAGGTCCCGTGTTTCCCGTGACGCCCTGCAGGTGGAGCAGTTACATACAAACCGGTTAGATGCAAATATCGCAAATAAGCAATATATTGCAAATAATAAGCAAATATTGATAATGAAACTGATTAGAGTATTTGATATTAAGATACGTGACTTTGTGCGTGCAGTCACTTGAATAAACTGTGAGGGAAACCTCATGAAATCAGATAAGCAGGGCCTGCTGTAGTGAGGAGCTCTTTACCACATGACACTTCATTCATTCAAAGCTACAAAACTAGAACACTCCCATTATAAACAACTGAGCTGTCTACTGCACTACAGAACAGACGGCTATGAGACTGAATTTCATGTCCAGCTTATGTGAAAATGGTTCAATTTGGCTGAATCTCACAAAAACTAAGGAAATAAAATTTAAGGGGGTCTGAATACTTTCCGTACCCACTGTATAAGCGATTCTTAGTAGTTTATTGTAATGCAAAAAAATCTTATTTGCATTACTGTAATTCAACATTTTAATTAATTACATAAAATAATACATTTGGATAAATCTCACAAAGATGATTTAGGACTTGCGTTTACTGACCTAATAAACTCTTTTGGAGTCAAGCAAAACGTCACCGGGCCCACTCATCGTTTTAATCATACGCTAGATTTAATTATATCGCATGGAATTTATCTTACTGATATA